ATTTTATGGTCATTATTTCAAACCAGTGAAAACAGAAGTTACATTAAAGAAAGAAGGATGTTTCTCTTTCAGCCAAAAGTTTAGTAGTTATGCTGAAATGGATGAGCACTTTTTTCCCCTCTATGTAAGGCATCTAGCCCTAGGAAAATAGGCCATATTGCTTATTGAGATTTCAATTTAAAAAATTAAGTACTATCTTTCTCTGAGGGAAATTTATGTATAGACTTTTATCAGAATATTGAATAATTATACTTAAAGGGATGGACTTTCTGTGATCAATTGTGAGATTATTCTTATTTTCATTCTTTCTCAATGACCGAAATACTTGTTTTTATTTATGCTGCCTAGATCTAAAAGATATTCTCTGTATAGTTGGAGATATGAGAAAACAAATGTTCATCTTGATTTAAAAATGGTTAGTTGTACATAAACCAGGTCAGATTGTGACAAATAATTTCTTATGACAAATTGGGGCATTTAGGGGCCACATTAATACTATATTTCTTCAAGACTGCTTGGGCTGGGAATGAAGTTAATTCAAACTAGTTGTCAAAAAACTCAACACCCATTTATGATAAAAACCCTCCAGAAAGTTGGCATAGAGGGAAGTTAACATAATAAAGGCCATATATGACAAACCCACAGCCAACACTGTCCTCAATGGGGAAAAACTGAAACCATTTCTGCTAAGATCAGGAACAAGACAAGGCTGCCCACTCTCACCACTATTATTCATATAGTTTTGGAAGTTTTAGCTACAGCAATCAGAGAAGAAAAAGAAATAAAAGGAATCCAAGCTGGAAAAGAAGAAGTAAAACTGTCACTGTTTGCAGATGACATGATACTATACATAGAGAATCCTAAAGATGCTACCAGAAAATTACCAGAGCTAATCAATGAATTTGGTAAAGCAGCAGGATACAAAATTAATGTACAGAAATCCCTTGCATTCCTATACACTAATGATGAAAAATCTGAAAGAGAAATTAAGGAAACACCCCCATTTACCATTGCAACAAAAAGAATAAAATACCTAGGAATAAACCTACCTAAGGAGACAGAAGACCTGAATGCAGAAAACTATAGGACACTGATGAAAGAAATCAAAGATGATACAAACAGATGGAGAGAGATACCATGTTCTTGGATTGGAAGAATCAACGTTGTGAAAATGACTATACTACCCAAAGCAATCTACAGATTCAATGCAATCTTTATCAAACTCCCAATGGCATTTTTCACATAACTAGAGCAAAAATTTTCACAATTTGTATGGAAACACAAAAGACCCTGAACAGCCAAAGCAATCTTGAGAAAGAAAAATGGAGCTGGAGGAATAAGGATCCCTGACTTTAGACTATACTACAAAGCTACAGTAATCAAGACAGTATGGTACTGGCACAAAAACAGAAATATAGATCAATGGAATAGGATAGAAAGCCCAGAGATAAACCCACACACATATGTCACCTTATCTTTGATAAAGGAAGAAAGAATATACAATGGAGAAAAGACAGCCTCTTCAATAAGTGGTGCTGGGAAAACTGGAGAGCTACATGTAAAAGAATGAAATTAGAACACTCCGTAACACCATACAAAAAAATAAACTCAAAATGGATTAAAGACCTAAATGTAAGGTCAGAGTATAAAACTCTTAGAGGAAAAACGTAGGCAGAACACTCTATGACATACATCACAGCAAGATCCTTTTTGACCCATCTCCTAGAAAAATGGAAATAAAAACAAAAATAAAGAAATGGGACCTAATGAAAGTAAAAAGCTTTTGCACAGCAAAGGAAACCATAAACAAGACGAAAAGACAACCCTCAGAATGGGTGAAAATATTTGCAAATGAAGCAACTGACAAAGGATTAATCTCCAAAATATACAAGCAGCTCATGCAGCTTGATATTAAAAAAACAAACAGGACTTCCCTGGTGGCACAGTGGTTAAGAATCCACCTGCCAATGCAGGGGTTCAAGCCCTGGTCCGGGAAGATCTCACATGCCACAGAGCAACTAAGCCCGTGCGCCACTATTACTGAGCCCACCTGTCACAACTACTGAAGCCCATGTGCCTAGAGCCTGTGCTCCACAACAAGAGAAGCCACCACAATGAGAAGCCCATGCACCACAACGAAGAGTAGCCCCGGCTCCCTGCAACTAGAGAAAGCCCACGCACAGCAACGGAGACCCAACGCAGCCAAAAATAAAAAACAAAAAAGCCCCCCAAACCCCCTCCCAATAAAACCCAATCCAAAAATGGGCAGAAGACCTAAATAGACATTTCTCCAAACAAGATATACAGATTGCCAACAAACACATGAAAGGATGCTCAACATCACTAATCATTAGAGAAATGCAAGTCAAAACTACAATGAGGTATCACCTCACCCGGGTCAGAATGGCCATCATCAAAAAATCTACACACAATAAATGCTGGAGAGGGTGTGGAGAAAAGGGAGTCCTCATAGACTGTTGGTGGGAATGTAAACTGATACAGCCACTATGGAGAACAGTATGGAGCTTCCTAAAAAAAGTAAAAATAGAACTACCATATGACCCAGCAATCCCACTACTGGGCATATACCCTGAGAAAACCATAATTCAAAAAGAGACATGTACCACAATGTTCATTACAGCACTATTTACAATAGCCAGGACATGGAAGCAACCTAAGTGTTCATTGACAGATGAATGGATAAAGAAGATGTGGCACATAAATACAATGGAATATTACTCAGCCATAAAAAGAAACAAAATTGAGTTATTTGTAGTGAGGTGGATGGACCTAGAGTCTGTCATACAGAGTGAAGTAAGTCAGAAAGAGAAAAACAAATACCGTATGCTAACACATATATACGGAATCTAAAAAAAAAAAAATTGTTCTGAAGAACCTAGGGGCGTGACAGGAATAAAGACGCAGACTTAGAGAATGGACTTGAGGACACAGGGAGGGGCAAGGGTAAGCTGGGACGAAGTGAGAGAGTGGCATGGACATATATACACTACCAAATGTAAAATAGATAGCTAGTGGGAAGCAGCTGCATAGCACAGGGAGATCAGCTCGGTGCTTTGTGTCCACCTAGAGGGGTGGGAGAGGGAGGATGGGAGGGAGATGCAAGAGGGAGGAGATATGGGGATATATTTATATGTATAGCTGATTCACTTTATCATACAGCAGATACTAACACACCACTGTAAAGCAATTATAGTCCAATAAAGATGTTAAAAAAATTTTTTTAAATAAAAGGGGTAATATATGAAAAAAACCCCACAAACTAGTTGTCAAAATATCTGAAAATAACAGATTGGCTATTTATTGTTTATTTAACAATATTGTTTATTGTAAACATAATTATTAATGTTTACTGGGGCAATTTTACATACTGTAAAATTCTTCCATTGCGAGTGTACAATTATGTTTTAAAAGTAGGGTTATAGATTTGTGCAACCATCATCGCAATCCAATCTTATGATGGATTGACCAATTATTGATCCTGAGTTTTCGACTGTTTAGACAGAGCCTCAGTGATGTGCATCCAAACTAGAAGCGTCCCCAAACAAGTTCACCATTCCCAGGTTGTATTACTAACCTTTATCATACAGTGATGAAGTCATTTGTACACAGGTCTGTGTCCCTGACTAGCTTCTGAGCTTTCTTGGGGTGAGAATATGGCATAAGGAAATACTTTAACACATTACCTTAGAATATCAAACTCTGGAAATATTTCTCTGTAGATGGTAACCAGTACCAATGGCAGCCTCAATGTTTGAGGCACAAAGGTCCAGCATCAGACCTGCTCTCCTGGTTCCTCAGGTTCTCTAACTTTTGGTTACCTTTCTTCAGTGTGACTATGCCCAGTACTGGAAATGTTTTCGGTGAGTGTAAAATAGGTAAAGCCTTCCCACCACTTTGGGATGCCGACTTAGCATTTTTGAACTGCGGTTAAAAGGACGTCTTTATCAGCAAACAAAAATGGCACTGACCTGAGAAGGTGGACATGGGCCAATTCTGAATTGCAGGGCAGTGGGCAATCTGTTGGTACACCTGGTTCTCTGAAGCTGCTTCTCTCAAGGACTTATCCTGGAGCTCCACTGTCATCTCAGTCAGTATGTTCATAGAGCAAGGGATATTTTGTAAATATCATACCAAATTCGCAGTTGAACTTTGCTGCTCTCTGATGATAATCATTTTGCTCCCAAGCAAACAGATGTTGAACATGGCACTGCAGCCATTGAAACTAGCCTCCTTCACTCTGATGACAATAGCATTCAACCAGGACAGCTTGTCTGACCCTCTTCTGCAGGCTGCCAAAACATTTGGTTGAAAAGTAAAACTGGAGTCAATCAATTCACTGCCTTGATACATGATGGATCCCCCCTCATACCCACCCCACAAGGCCAAATTCATTTGAATGGCTTTTCTTAAAAAACTGGCAGCCATTTTGGCAGCTTGTACAGAATAGAGAGAGCCTCAACGAAAAATACTATGCAGCACTTACTGGCCTCATGGAACTTGATGATTTAAACCTTATGCTTCAGTAGTAGTGAGCACAGCTGCAGGCAGGCCAGGTAGTCTCATAACACAGTGCCTGACAAATCTCTCTAAACAAAGTAAGAATTTATTATATCTGTCAGCAAAGACTCTCACCTCTCCGGGTCTCTTTTCAGAGGGGTGTGTTCGAAAGGGAGATGTGTTTGTAGCCTGCTGAAAAGAGGGACAAACACTCCATTAAACATTAAATCCTTTGGTCCCCTTCAGAACACTAAATCCTGACTCCTATAGACAAAAGACAGAACCTATACTCAGAGTTTACAAAGTAAATGAAGCTCTGAGCTGAAGTAAGCAAGGACATTACCCCATTAACCTTGGACAGACAACTGGGCTTATATCATGGTCTGGAATCTTGCACTTAAAATCCACAACTGCTGTGTATTACATGATCTCTTGTCTGCTAACAATTACTCCCATGTGGTAGAATGACTTTTTTCTCTTGCTCATAATAATATGTCAATTTCCCTGGGGCACAGGTGTCATCCAAAGAAGGCCTTATCTTCTACAGGATTTTTTTTTTTTTAGAAGTTGGCCAGGCCAGATGGCTACCACTTACTTCAGTGCCTCTATATTCTCACTAATATTTTCTGGCCCAAGTATGAATATGTAAAAGAAAAACAGGAGGGGACATTGGGCTTTTAATACTTTGGTAGAGTGATGGATCAAAGGCCAGAAATCATGTAAATAAGACTTTTCACTTCTGAGAATGACATGAATTTTGGCCAGTTCAAGATGGCAGCCTCTTCACTTGAGCATCTAAAATTTCTAGATCATAAGAAAGGGCCATAGTGTTATGCTGGCTGGTCAGGTTGAAACAGAACAATGGGCAGTTGAGGTGAACTCATCAACCTTAGAGTCTCAGATTAAATTTGCAGCACAGATGGCAAAATATACAACATTTCCCCTTAGCTCCTATCCCATAATACTCTATGATCCAATGATGGAGCTTCGGATGCATTTAGACACTGTGCACAGCTGTATTAGATATATTGCTGTGCCTTATGGTCACATATTTATATGACTGTCTTCTCTATTAGACTGTGTCTCTGTGAGGACAAAGACTGTATCTTTGGCATCTTGAATTCCCAGCTTCAAGTTCAGGGGCACAGTAAGTACTTGTGAATGAATGAATCATGGCAGTGTAAAGAAACTATAGGCATGAAGGGATACATCTTGAATAACTTGGTGCTAAACTTAGCTAAAGTTCTAGGATTGGGGATTTTCCTAAGTTCAGATCATCAGGTGACGAATAATTCATCTTCCAATTTTGGCTAACTTCAGCCTAACTTTAAGCTACCATGTGTTTGTCTTCCTTTATGAAACTTGGATCAAACATAATGTAAGATCACCTTTAACAGATACTACTATAAAATCAAATTAGTTAGAAATATGCTCAAAATATACTTCTAGTCTTTAAAATCAGCACAAAAGGCTAGAGACACCATTAGTGACTGCCATCTCTGACTAACAACCACAGAAACACCGTTAGGTTGCCACTACCTTTGACAGAAAGATTATACAGATTTACATATGTCTAACACCAAACCCAAAGGTTTACATTTCTATGAAAGAGATTGTTTTTGCATAGTTACTGACTCTTCTTAGTTATTAAGGCAACTCAAGGAGGAGTTAAACCTAATTTTACCTGTTTAATATACAAGATAATGCTGTTCACACTCACTTATGTACATAATGGGGTGGCTTGGGATTTAGATAACTTTTAAGTTTTACATAACTTGATTTCTACTCGATTTGTGTTTAATAGGTACCTTAAAACCTGATTGTGTATATACTATACTTAATTTACTATACTTTTTACCCCACGGAGCTCAGAGTGGTAGGTCAGGTATCATTTTACTCATTCCCACTACATTTCAATAAAGTGGCAATATTCTAATGCTAATTACGGCTTTGAGGAGTTGAAGGCAAAGATCAGAATAGAAAAAGAAAACAGAACACAGAACAGAAAAAGTGTTTAAATCCCTGTGCTCTCTCTATCTAGCAATATTCACATGCCAAATATTTATAACTTGTGCTAGTTAGGATAACGCTAGCTGCTATAACAAGCAGGCACTAAAATGTGTAAGGGTTCACACACAATGGAAGTTTGTTTCTTGCCCATAAAATGTTCTGAGTTGTTTAAGGCAAATGGGGAGTGGGGAGGAGGGGGTGTTCCTCATCATTCAGGGACCCAGGTATTGATATCTGGAGTTTCTGCAATCTTTAGCATTTAGTTTCCAAGGTCATCATAGTGGTTTTTTTTGTCTGGTGGCTGGAGGAGAATAGGGAAAGTGTGGGAGGTTTTACGAGTGGGCCTAGAAGTAGCACACATCACTTCTACTCATACCCAACCCCCCCACCCCCCGTTAGCTAGAACTCAGCTACATCGCATTGCCAAGATGCAATTATCTTCCTGGCTAAGAAATTATCTTCCTGGCTGCACAACCTATGTTGCCACAACTCCAGACCATGAAGGGGAAACAGATTTTGGGGATTAGTTAACTGTCATTGCCACATAACCTAAGTCAAAGCTAGGCTTTTCTGACCTTATCCTTCGAAGACTTTCACCAGTCTGTCCTCTCCCACTGGGGTCACCGGGGTGATGATTTGATGTCAGGGCAACCTGGGGTCTTTTGGACAACAGCAGCCACGCTGAGGGTCACGGCTTACATGTGTTTGCTACTTGACCAATTTCTGTTAGTTAAGCCTGGGGCTTCCCAGGCCTTTAGCTGGTGCTAGTCTAACGCCTGGGTCTATGTAACTGGGGTTCAAGCTCATTCTAGTGACTTTCTGTGGTATTTCCTAAGGCATCTGCATTAACTACAGACCAGCTTGCACCCCTGTCTATTGTGTTGGTGGACCCAATAGTGTTTGTTGTGTATCATTTAAAACTCCTTTATAAATAGCTGTCTCTTGTGTAAAGTGTAATCATCTCCTACTTTTTGCTGTTTATTGTTGCAAAGTCTCTTGGGAGCTAGAAAATAACAGTTCTTCATCTTGAAAAATGTTTTTTTTCCTACTTCTAGCTCTGTTTCCCCCTGCCCCCCCCCCCACTTCTCATATTATACCTTCTGATGGCTTGAAAGTACCTTGAATGTACCCACAGGATCTGTTTTGATTATACCCATGAGCCAAACAGGAGTTTTTCCAGGATGCTGAATGACTACATAAATAAATTGTGGGAGAAAAACCCCACCTGATTCAGATGTCAATGACTACGGCTAGCATTTATTGAACATGTAGTATTAATATTTGCTAGGCAGAATGCTGAGCTCTCTATAAACATCATTCCATTTAATTTTTATATTCACCTTTGGAAGTTGATAATTAATTGCACTTTATACATGATGAAACTGAGGTAGAGAGGGGTTAAGTAACTTGTCTGGGCTACACTAGTTGTAAGTAGTAATACTATAAATGGAGCCAATATTTGCATAGCTCCAAGTCTGGGTATATCACCATTCTGGTGTCCTGCCAATAGATTACATTCTCAAAGTTCCTATTTTCCATGGGTTCTCCACGTATGAAAACTATATAACTCATTCGTATTCTTGGAAAATAAATGGTACACTAAATAAAAATAGATATTTCAAGACATTTTTCGTGATCGTCTTGTTCCTCCCATTAAATTATACGCACTAAAGAAGAACAGACTTAGAATCCAGAGCACATTTCCCACCAGATGAGTCAAGATTTGCAGCTATAACTGTAGTACTTGACAGCATTGCTTAATAAAAAGATTTAAATCCACCTACTACTTTATACTCAATAACAGATTATACCACCCCTAAAGGCAAAACAGTGTGAGAAAAATGATAATATAACTGTTCCCTAGTGGGTATTGATTAAATGTGAGCATTATGAGCTCATTACGTTGGTTAATTTAGGTTGAGATTACTAACGCAAGTTAAGTTCAATTTAGCACAACTGACAAAAATCCAAGAATATCAATGGAAGGAATAAATGACACATGTGAGCCATAATATTTAAAATTTTAAGCCTTGATATATCTTAAAGATATTTATTTTCATTTACTTATTCTAATACAATCTGGAGTCAGAGAGGTCTGACACAGTGTGTGACTCTGGGCAAGTTACATAACCCTTCTATGTCTCAGTTTCCTCATGTTTAGAATGAGGATAATAATAGTGCCTAACTCACAGGGTTTATTATGAAGATTAAAAGAGACAATGCATATGAAATACTTGGAAATCACTAAGCAAGAAAGAGTGCCTGTCTTAGTTTGCTTGGGCTGCCATACAGAATACCACTGACTAGGTGACATAACAGAAATTTATTTTCTCACAGTTCTGGAAGGTTAGAAGTCCAAAATCAATGTGCTGTCAGGGTTGGTTTCTGGTGAAGCCTCTCTTCTTGCCTTGCAGGTGCCTGCCTTCTGACTGAGTTCTCGTGTGGCCTTTCCTCTGTGTATGTGGAGAGAAGAGAGTTCTCTGATATCTCTTAAAAGAATGCTAGTTCTTGTAAGTATACCAGATTTATTGGACTAAGGTCCCACTCTATGGCCTTATTTAACCTTAATAGCCTCCTTATAGGCCCTGTCTCCAAATACAGTCACACTGGCAGTTAGGGATTCAACATATGGATTTCCAGGGGATACAATTCAGTTCACAGCAGTGCTCAAAAACAGCACAATTATTTTTTTCATTACTTCATTTTTATTATATATTCACTCAGTATAAAGCTTTTTTTCATAGGGATATGAGACCGCGTTAATGTTTTCAAAGTTAAGCTCAACTTAGATTCCTTGAGGGAATCTCCAGAGCAAAAGTAGTTTAGGAATTGATCAGAGTTACTGACAGAGTGAGATATTAATTTGATTTCTGACACATGCGGTGGTGGTGGTATGTTTGCATGTGTATGTGTGTGATGCTATCTAGAGAGCACACCACAAATAAAGTCTTGAAAATATTAGTCCACTAGAATTGGGATTTTAGGATATCTTGCATGATTAAGGCTCTGATGAAAAACGAATGCTTCTTTCCTTTCCTTTTGCCATTTTTTTCTCCAGTTAAAATTGAGCCAGGTCTCTGAATTCCCATTTTGGCTGAATTGGAAATCTGGAGTTGATGCTCAACTAAATGATTTTTTTTTTTTTTTTTTTGCATTTTGTACACTGCCTTCTTCTTTCTGCCTTATCCCGTCCAAAGCATCTGACAGGTGGTGGGACCCCCTCCCTATCTTGAAGAATCAAACATATATTCTAAAGTTTAATGCTTGAATTATTCATTTGGATTCTGGATTTTGGGGTCATTTTGCTTTGTCAACCAAAGACTGACAACACGGAGCAAATGTCAGCAAAACAACAGGCACTGGCTTCTTAGTCAAAGCAATTTTGAAAGCAAGTCCTAATCTTAAAAAGAGCTCTTTCCAAGGCTTAGAAGTGACAGGCTGCCTGGGGGTGGGGGGAGTCTGCTCTGCTGGGCAGAGCCACCTGTATTTCTGTGTAGAATAATTTTGAAAGAGCTTTTTTCCCTCTTCTTTTGGCAGGACATTTGTCATCATAATAAAGATCTGGTATTTACCAGACCCTTTTAAACAAATAATCTGAAAGCAACAGGAGGAAATCTGCAATAATTTATAATCAGCTCTTAGAGCTGTTTAGCTTTTTCACAGTATGCCTGAAATGAGCAATGTTTATAAGAAGTTCAAGACTTCCACAAGCAAACCCATTCTCTTGAAGGTGATAGCTTGCTCCTGACACTCTGAACCCAAGGCCTGGGGTTTCACATCATGTTCCTAGAGCAGTATCTGAGCATTAGGTCTGCAGCTCTCTAGAGGGCTTTATGGGGGAAGGACCACTCTGGGGAAAGGACTGTTCTCCCCAGAGCTAACATTTCTGTTACACAGGCTTCAAGACAAGTGAATCTAGATCTATGCTGGGGGTGGGGGAGGTTTGGGAAAAAAGAAGAGTAGAAAATCTGATCCTTAATTCCAATAGCATATAAATGAGGTAAGATGACATGACCGATGTACCATCAAGACCCTGTAATGAAGTACTGCACGATGTGGATGCAGAACTCATTTCAAGAGCTTTATTTCCCAGCAAAGGGAAAGGACCACTGTGGACTGAAATGGAAAAGGTGAGACTTCAGTTAAGTCTTTTCATTCCTTCGGTAAATATTTATTGAATATTTTCTACATGACAGTTACTGAGTTGAGCGGAGGATGGCGATAAAGAAGAAATGGGCCCTCGTATGAAAGTGCTTATGTTCAAAGGGGGAGAGAGGCATTAAACATCTAAAAAAGAATTTCAGGTCAGGAAAAGGGCAATGAGGGAAATAAAAAGGTATTTACAGAATAAAAAAGTAATTTTTAGACAGTGTGGTCAGGGAGGTTCTCTCTTAGAAGGTGACATTCTAGCTCCTATTGGATTATAGGAAAGATCCAGCCATAAGAACATTCACGGGGGGAGCACCAATGAATTGGAAACCACCGATGCGAAGGGAAAAGTTGATGAAGCTGGGGTTGACTGAGCCTGACAGAGTTGTGGGAGAGGACCCAGAATTACTGATGCTGGATGTGGCGAGAGGGAGTCATTTTAAGGAAGAAAATTGATTAACTTAGAATTGACTAACTTAGAATTACTTCATCCTTCCACCTTGGCCCTTTACTGATATACCTTCCCTTCCCTGCAGAGGTATGCTAAGTAACATGTTCAGAGCTCCTTGAAGCACAACAAATACAGTGAAATCAAAAGCTGATTGTGTCCATCAACCAGTCATTCACAGAGCACCTTCAGACCTGGGAGTTCAGGTCTCTACCTCCTTTGTTCCTTTTAAAGAGCTTACATCTTTTCCATCTCTATGAGAAGAGGAGACAATTTACTGTTACGATATTTGCTTATCATTAAAATGTGAACTGTGCCTTCCTAAAGACAGTTAATGGTGTGTATGTGTGTGTGTGTGTGTGTGTGTGTGTGTGTGTAATGGCCTTGCATCGCTGAAGTCTGACTTGGGGTAGGCCCCAGTTTCCTTCCCTTGCCTCCTGCCATTCACTCATGTGTCGGTTGAGATCTGCCAGAGCCCCTCTCTAATGGTTCCCAGGGCTGTGCTTAGTTAGGGCCATGGAGCCAGGGCAGCCTTTTTCCACTGGGGCTCATTGCTAGTACTCCCTTCTCTTATAGCTCTGTGAAAGTATGACTTTAGTGTTTCTGGTTCTCATTCTTTGGAAACCATTGTGAAGGGCTTTCATCATAGTACTCAGTACTGGGCCACCCAACATGGCACTGCATTCTGTCCCTGAATCAAGTGTATGTGTGGTGGTGTATTTTTTCAAATAGGTCATTAACCAAAAGACTCTGTAGCTCCCATCATAGTGCTATCTTGGGCAGAATATCACCTTGGTCTGTGTTTATTTGTAAACAGCCTCAGGCCCTGAAGTAAAAGAAAGATTTGTACCCATTAGATGTGCAGGATAAGACCCACATATCTCCCTAATTTACCCTGGAAAGAGATCTTGGTATAATTTTCTGTACAGATGACAATCTCTGCTCTTGAACAAATTGCTTCTTAGACTGCCTTCCTACAAATCAATGTGTATCTCTGAAAAGAATCCATTGCTGTTTTCCTAATGAAAGGGGAGCAAAAAAAAAAGAAACAAAGAAAGAAAAAAAGGATGCCAAATCTTTATAAAAGGTAACTCCTTTAAGATAAAATCTTTAGAAAAGCCCTAAAGGTGGGAAGAGGTGAATCAGCTGGTCTCTAATTCATACAAGGTGGGGCGGGCGAAGACATGCTAATGTTATTAGGATACTAGACAGAAATATAAACGATCTCATTAATTCTCAAAGGGGTAAATATAAACATCAAATTCCAATTGTGAATAACCTAAAATTATAACTAAATTATACATAGCCAATATTTTCAGGAAGGGGATCTTTCCTGTCTCTGTGATTAGAAACGAAACAATTTTTGATGAAAATAAAATTGATCATATTATGACTACATTGTTAAGGATGCAGTAGATCTACAAATATTTACTTCTCCCAGTGCTTTTTTAAATGCTGAATTTGAGACTCACAGTATTAACTTTGACTCTACACATGTCTTTCCTATGAGGAGCTTCACACATTTGGGGGGTATTAGCCCACCGTGGAGTGAAGAATAGAGAGGGAATTCTGTGTAAATTTTCAGGTGAGATTCAGTGGGGTGTTTATAACTCACCTCAGCAATCACCTGGGTTAGGAAGAGAATTGCACCTAGGAACGTCCAGTCCAGGGCATTAGTCACTGGTCAAAGAAGAGGTGAGCAGTAAATCAGTGCAGCAAGTTCCATGAGGAAGACGGACAGGAAAGGTGACCAGCCTGTGACCATGCTGCCCCACTCAGATCTGTATTGTCAATTATGGCTTCCTGCTGGGCACCTGAGGCTGAGGCAGTGGCATCTAATTGCACCCAGTATTAATGGAGTGTACATGCTCTGCTCATCACTGGGAGATTACCGGATTACCCAGGATTAAAAAAAGGGAAGGTTGTCGGATCAGCTGACACCAGGTCCAATTTAGGCTTTAAAACTGTAACAACTTCTCGGATTTTAAACAAGCCTATCAGCAACTTTTCTTTTTCAAGGCAAAAGCCACCTTTCAAGGGCTTCTCAGAATTGGAAGGCAATGAATTTACAAGTGTTCCTGAGTCCATAATGGGTAGGTATCCAAGTTTCAGTTTCCTCATCTAAAAATCAGGATAATAAAATCTATTACTTCTTAAGGCTGCTGAAAGATTAAATCAGACAAACTAAGTAAAACTCATAGTACTGCCTAGAATACAGTGAACCCTCAATAAAAATGAATAATTATCATACACCAGCAATCTTTGGCGCTTTTTACACATTATTTCCTTTTTCTGGAAATATAAGTGTTTTCTAAGAAATAGAACTTGGTCTCACTTAACTTGTTTCAGACCATGCTATAAACAGATAAATGTATTCATCTATCCATCCACCCATGCATGCAGCAAATATTTATTGAGTCTCACTTACTTTTATTTGTGCCAGGCAAAGAAGAGAGACAAGGTCCCTGCTCCCATAGAATGTAAACTCTTGTGGAAGAGAGAAGACTAAACAACAACCAAAGAATATACTGTGTAAAATATTAGGTAATAATAAATAGTAGGAGGAAAAAAGGTGAGAGGATGGAGAATGATCAGCAGAGATGGAAGTTGTCTTTGATACAGTGGTCAGTGAAAGCCTCTGTGGAGGTGACATCTAAGTTAAGGCAGGAATAAATGGAGAGAAATGAGGTATTTGATGATCTGGGAAACAGTATTCAAGACCAAGGGTACAGGAAGAGCAAAGGGGTAGGAAGGAGATTGGCGTTTTCAAGGAAAAACAAGAGAGCCTCAAGGTCTTACTTCACTTCTTCTGCTATAGCAGCCTCCTGTCTGGTGTCCCTGCTTCGGCTCCTCCTGCAGTCAATTCCCCAAGCAGCAACCAGAGTGCTTTTTAAAAGAAACTTAAATCGAATCACGTTATTCCCCAGATCACAACTCCACAATTTCCAGTTTTCTGAGTGGTTTCCCATCTCACTCAGAAAAAAATCCAAACTCCTCATGTGGCTTTCAAGGGCCATCCAAAGACCAGCTGGTTCTGCCAATCTTCTCTAGCACCATGCTCATCTAGTTTCCTCCTCTCCAGGAGGGAGGGAATGAGGTCAGCATGGTAAGATACCACTTAGGAGCCGTTGTAGTCAAGGTGAGGATTGAAGGACTGAGTGGCAGTGTTGGGCGGGTGGTGGGGGGTGAAGCATTTAGATCGGGGATATATTTGAGAGAAATGCTGATGAGATTTGCTGAAGGATTGGCTGTGGGCTCTGGCTTTATAGCTCCTTGGTTTCTACAAGTTGTCAAGTGTTTTTAACGGCTGCTCCTAGTTTGGGCTTCCTGTTTCCCTGGAGGGATTATTCTTCTGTAGCAAACTAAAAGGCTACACATGGAAAAGCTGATTTTTTAAATGATCAAACTTTCCCCCCATGAAATTTCATCTCTGCATGCCCTCAGAATTGTAGTGAAACCTCAGCAACATGGGTGGATGTTCTATGGGTGGATTATTCAGGGCCTTGAAGAAGGGGTGGAAAGGGAAAAGAGATGAAAATCAAATCATACCTATCAGCATTATTTATATGCTGATACAATTTTCATGGAAACATATATGGACAGTATTGGCTAAAAATGAGTTTTGAATTATCTGTAAGTCTCTATTATCTTTACTATGGAACTTATTTTACAAGGTTGAAAATATTAAATGTATGAGAATGTATTTTGTAAGAAACAATATCCTAGGCCTGTCAATGGCCTCCAAGACCCTGCGTAATCTGGTTGCTATTGTCTCTTTCACTTTGTTCCATTCATATTATTCTCTCACCTGGTTCCAGTGAGCTGTACCCTGACCATTCTATTTAAATTGCACCCAGCTCCCCAGTCCCATCCTATTCCCTCGCTCCTGATGCCCCTTACCCAGTTCTATGAATTCTACAGTGTGTATTCTTACCTACTATATAATTTACTTTCACATTTTGTTTGTTTATTGTTTGTCTCACTAGGATGAAGCTCCTAGAGGGCAAAGTTTTTTAACCTATTTTGCTCACTGAATAGATCAAGCACCTACAACAGTGCCTGGCACATACGAGCTTCTCAGTGAATGTTTGTTGAATGGATGAATGAATGAATGAATGTTTATTTTTCTATTAACACGTTGGGGTAAGGAGCAGAATGAAAGAAATTGTAGGATGAGGACCTAAGCTATACATGCCTACCACAAATTCAGACATAACCTCCCATGAGTAGTATTCCTAACATCCAAAAATAAATAAATAAAAAGCCTAGTGAGGAGGAGAAATGACTGGACAGAGCTACTCAGCTGATCCTCAGCTTCCAAGCTTTAAAGCCCTAGGGGCTAAGTATCACCCTCAAGGCCTGCTCCAGTAGGAAGCAGTTACTAAATGAGGAAATAACTCATCCTGAGAAGGAATTTCTAAAATAAGGGCATCAAAGGAAGTTGGTACCCTCATTGCATCTGATCCCTCCCCCTTTGGACCAGGGCCAGAGTTCTCAGGAGATGGGGCTGGAAAAATAGTGGGGCTAATAAAAAGGTAAGTCACAAGGCAGCACTGTTTTGCGGCCTAGTAGCAGGGTGTGATGGCTGTGGGGGGAGCATATTTCCCTATACACCCACTTCAGTTTGGAAACTATTGGCATGCCATGGGAAAATGGCCTCGTAGGACAGGAGTGGAGAAGCTGCTCCAAGAATTTCATGCATGGTCTACTGGTAGCTGGGTCTTGACTGCAGCAGATTTGTGAAATTGCACGGTGATGTCCCCCTGGGACCACAGACCACAGTGTGGGGTCAGGAGGATTGCTAGGAGTGGAGGGATTTAGAAGAAAGCATTCTCCGGCCACCTAACTAGGGTGGGGGAAGGCCCAAGAATGGGTATATAATTTCTGTTGCTGGGGTCTTGCTACACCAAGACTGGTGTGCTTGAGGAAATTCCCATTTGGTCATGCTTATTGCTGGTGTCACTGTCAGAATGGGGCAATAGAGGGATTTTCAAGTCAAGGAAGGTCTTTCTAGGATCTACACCATGTAGCCCTGGTTTGGTATTAATATGCAGCAGTGGAGGAAATGAGCCCCTGCACTGAGAGGTATGACTAGTATTCCTGGTCACTCTGCCAGAAAAATCATCCAAAATCCCCATGGACTTGGGAATTTTGGAAAGGAGGCAAGGACAGGATCCAGGATCCTGTCAGTCCTGGTCAGTGTCATAGGCTCTGGGTTCAGGGTGGCATGGTGAAGACCTTCCTACTGGATTGTGGAAATTACATTTGCAAAATGAAGTTGGCAGCATCAAGGTGAAGAAGTAAGAACTAAGAAGCCCATTTCTCTGCCATAGACATACAAACTGACAGCACAAGAAACTGCTGAGTTTCCTTGGAGGCATCATGGTCCCAGAGTTGTACAACTTCGTGAAGAATGATGTCAGGAAAGAAAGATGTGATATTGCAGAAGGATCTTGTTCAAAGTCACAGGAAGCAAATTCTTTACATTAGGAAGCACTGGCCATTTGATGGATATAAACTTTGTGAGGTTCCATAATTTCCTATTTTTTTATTGTCCCGGGGCACCCCAAACGGTTTTGGAACAACACAAGGTATAAATAAGCACATGAGTAAAAATACACATTTCCTTTTTGTTTCCTCTCTTGGCAGCAGCAGGCATGCCTGACTTACTGCCAAGTGGCACCGGGGGACGGAGACATACACTGAGTGGGGTTTCCTTTTAGAGTCTGAAACCGTAAGTTTGACCTGTGGGCAGTAGTTCCTAACTTTGGCAGATCTTCTGGATTACTGTGGGGACAGCTTTGAAAATTATAATCACTGTGATCCATCCCAGACTTGCCTGGAGGGTGGGGCACAGGCGTCTGTATTTTCACAAGCTCCCCAAGTGACTCTTGGGGAATTCCAAGGGTCCAGTGTCTAGAGGTTCCATGGAAGGGAAAGCCGGTTTAAGGGACCTCTCTGAGATGCTAAGAGGAAGGAGAGGGATAAAAAGTAGATAGTTATGTCTTGAGATGAATAAAAGGAGGACAAAACTTCACAGTAGTTCCTGCAGAACAGTCACCATTTCAGAAATCCTTTGATTCTGGACCTTATTCGAGAAAGAAGGAAAGGAAAGCAGACTCACTGAATGCTTGCTATGCATTTGACCCTGTGCTAAGTGTATGAGTTCATTCATTTATTCATTCACAACCATGAAGTGCATCCCACATGCCAAGCACTGTGCTAGGTGTTGGGATTACAAAGACAAAAAAGACTACCCAGAGAAGTATGTGCTATAATTGAGGGGAGCATAGGGTGCTTTGGGAGACTTTGGGAAGGGCTTTCAACCCATACTGGATGGGGTAGGGGATGAGTCAGGGAAGGTTTCCAAGAAGAGGTGGCACTTAAACAAAATCATAGATAATTCTAATTCTAATATTAACTACTGTAAATAGTCCAGTATGGTTGGAGCAGAGAGAGTTATGGGAGGGATAAGAAGGGATAGGGATAGGGGATGATAGAGCCAGAGATGAGACTGGAGAGGTAGATGTACTGGAGCCAGGTGATGAGTTGCTTGACTTTATCCGGAGTGCAGTGGGTGATACTGAAGGAGTCAGAGTGGGCGACAACAGGATCACATTTGTGGTTGAGAAAGAACAATATGGTGGCAGCACAGAGAATGCATTAGGAAGGGGGTGAGACTCGAGATGGGAGCCTAATGGCCTGGGATGAAGCGATGGGAGTGAGAGTGGAGAGGAAGGGATTGACAGGACTGGAGAGAGAGGGACGAGTCAAGGATGGTGCCCAAGTTTCTTTTTTAGCAACTGATTGGCTCATGGTGCCACTTACCATTCACTATTTGCTTTAACATAGTTCTTCGGTTTGTCTTCATAATTATCTTATGTCATTTTTAACAGATCAAGATAGAAAAGCTCTGAACAAACAGAAAAACGGAGGAAAGCTCAAGGTCTCCAGCTTGTAAGCTGGGAGCTGAGATCCAATTTCAGGTTGGCCTCGGTTCTGAGACCATGCTTCCAATGCCCCAGGCACATGAAAAACTTAATAAGGCTAAAAAAAGAATATGGCTTTGAGTAGGCTACATTCACAATAGAGACAACATGAGCTAAGATCTGAAAAGCAGAATCCCAGAACCTGAAATTTATTCTTTACTGCAGTTAGCATGGTGAGATATGACCTCCTTTTTGACAAGGTCGTCAATGTTCTCTCTCCAGTGCTATGCAGCCTCTTTATACCTCACTGATGGCAAATAGGATTGAATCAAGATTTTAAAGAGGGAAAAAAATTGCTGCTAAAAATGTCCTTACAAAAAAAAAGTGACATGGCACATCTTATCTTAACCTTTGTCTCACAGATTTGCTTACACCACCTCTGAAAGTAATTTGTTTAAAAACAGTTATCTTGCTGGAGGAGTTTAATAAAAATTTAAAAGTTTTGGGAGGAAAATACATCTTTACCCAGAATCTTGTATGGTAGTAATGTGACAGACACAATGCTTTAAAGAGAGTACATTTTGAGGACTTCTCTGGTGGTGCAGTGGTTAAGAATCCACCTGCCAATGCAGGGCACATGGGTTCAAGCCCTGGTCCGGAAAGATCCCACATGCCACGGAGCAACTACTGAGCCTGTGCTCTAGAGCCCACGAGCCACAACTACTGAAGCCTGCGTGCTTAGAGCCTGGGCTCCGCAACAAGAGAAGCCACCGCAATGAGAAGCCTGTGTACCGCAACGAAGAGTAGCACCCGCCAGCTGCAACTAGAGAAAACCCGTGCGCAGCAACAAAGACCCCATGCAGACAAAAATAAATAAATAAATAAATTTTAAAAAAAAGAGAGAGTACATTTTGTAGTTAGGCTCTCTGAGCCAAAGGGTTATACAGAAGTCCTCTGATATCAGGCCACTGACAGAAATGCAACATTCAAACCCACCTGGGCAATATATGGGTCATCCCTGCAGCCATTAGGTACATATCAGTCTGAATTTGAACTTCTGCTGTTTCTTTGGCTGGGACTGAATTTAGCCTGCATGTCTAATATCTTTGAAATTATCTTTTCCTCTCAGTTTGGATGGAAGCAGCTTCCTCATTAGTGGAATAGGAAACTATTTATAGGAAAAGAAAATATATAGGAATATTTGTAATATTTCTAGAATACGATTTTTCATGCTTTGAGTTGGCTGCATATTAAAGATAGGTTTGATTTAGATTTGCCCCCTATATCTTTCCCTCAATGCTTATTTTTATCCAACTTGTCTCCCTAAATATACTTTTCCTCTCTCACTCAAAAACAAATACACCCCAGTCAGGAGTTACATTTGTTGGTTTGAACAGTTTGTTGGTTTGTCACTCCCTTTCTTGGGCTTCTACCTGTTGGGGCTTGTGCCGGGGCTCCCAACAGTTTAGTTTCCACATCTGTTGGATTGCCTTCGCTCACCTTGAGAGATCACTATGAGGCAATATAGCTCATCAATGTCATCATAAACTGCTCTGCAAAAATATGTCTCAACATCTGTGATGCCAGATTCAAAAGAGCTCAATTGTGTGTGTCTGGTGAAAAAAAAACAAAAAAGAAAACAAAAAAAAACCAAGGTGGTCTTCTGATGCTGAACAGCAAGGTGAGGGGCTGGCAATCTTCATGTTTCTTATGGGCCTGGACTGCATTTTCTTCATCTGTCCTTGCTAGCAGTGAAGTGCTCTAGCATTCTTTCCCATTAGTAGCAGCCTGCAGGCTTACAGGTCAATTATTTTTCTTTTCCTTTTACTAGAAGGGCCTTCGTTCCCTAGTTTTTAAGAGCAGGGACTTTGAGACAGTAACCCCACCCTTCCACAGCAGGTCACGTAAATGTCTAGGTGCCACCCTCCCCCAATGGGCAGTCGGCCCATTTAAGCAAGAGAACAATAAGGAGATGGCTCCTTGGCTTCTGCTTCTTTGGCAATGGAGGAGAAGGAGGTGGCTGAAGCTAGACACGTTGTACATGCCCAAGCCTTTTGCAAAGTCTCACCCTATTGAGCAACAAGAAGGCGACTGTCTCCATGTTAACACCACCAATGACAATGTTAAAACTGGATTGGCTAGGTTTTTTCATTGAAATCCTGGCTTAAAGGGTGTGTCCATGTGCCTGCAAAACATAAATGGAAAGAACCAAAAGGGAAGGGAAGCAAAGTGAAATGACTCCTTTCTTGGCAAGGAAAAAAAGATTCCATTTTAGAATGAAGGCAGTTACCACTATAGCTGAACAAAGAGCTAGTTTAAAGACAATAACCAATCACTTAAACAGAGAGGTCTTTACGTCTGTGAAACTCAGTCACCTACAAACTGAACTATCTAGGTAACTGTTAATTTATCATTCAGGCCAAATGTGTTTTCTCCCATCATTTTCAAATTCTTGTGCTGAGCTAGAACCGTGCCACACCTATTATTGCAGGTACTCTTCTGCCTCTTTGCCTTTGTGCCTGCTGTTCTCTCTGCCTGAAATGCCCTTCCGGTCTTTTTATACTTGGGGAATGCATATTCACTTTCTAAATTCTGTCTCAAAGATCTTCTCCACCTTTTCTATGCCCCAGACAGAACTGGTTGCTCCTGAGGGGCTCTGTTCAAATTTTACCACAGGACTATGGTTTTCTTGAATTTGAAGGTTGTTTCTTATTCATTTCTGTATTCTTGGTGCTCTGTACAATTCTACACACTATGCATAATTAACTTTGCTCTAACCATAGGGAAGAAGCCTGTTAGTTATCCAGACTTCAGTTAATGATGACATTTGTTAAGATGGGATCTGATTTCTGACACATGTTCTGGATTTTTGGTTTCATACAGTTTTTCCTATTTTCATACAATCTGAGGGTGAATGTGGAGGATCTATATTGCTTTAAGAAAACTTGTACTCCAAGTCAGTAAAATCTTCCTTTTGAGTAGAATCTAGGACTTTGGCATTTTGCCATGTAGGTGAAGGGAGAGAGGTTCAAACATGACTGAGAAAGCCAGTGTAGGTTGACAAAAAAGGAGGAATGATATCAAAAAGGCAAACTTTGTCTTCAGTACAAAATGATGTTTCTTAAAATTGGGTGTGTCAAACCAAAGCTACCTTCAGGCAGGTTTTACTTGCATAACCTGCATATATTCAGAATCTGGAGTTTTGACTGACCTTAGTTTCAAAGGCAGGATTTTTATGTGAATAAATTCTTTCATCCATTTAGTAGATCAATCATCAGTTTTCTTAAGACTCCAGGCACATTTATCTCTCTGCATTCTTTCACCTATAATAGAAGAAAGCCAGAGCTCTGAATTCATTTAGTTCCTCTCAGTGCTTTACATTTAAAAAAACATTTCCTTAAAATTAAATAAAATGAATCCACTTAATTTTTAGGAAAATTTAACATGTAAATCAGCAGAACACACACAATTACCCATAATACTGATACCTGGAGATAACCACTGCTAACATATTTATTGGCTCATTCATTCAACAGACATTTCTTGGTATATAAACTTATTTCCAGAGGTATTTGTTGCATCTATATACCCATAACCACACTTTTTATTTACAGAAATGGGATCATAATATCCTTATTGTACTATTAGTATTTAATGTACTATTTGTACACTTCTCTCCCAGGCGTTCTGTTTTATGGATTACCATGATTCATTTAACCAGTTTATTATTATTAGGTATTAAGGCTGTTTCTAAAGTCTTGGTATTACAAACAGGACCATAAGGAACATTCTGTAGATACTTCTTTGTCTTCTTGTCCAATTGTTTCCTTAGGAAAATTTTTAAATAAAAAATTCTGGGAAAAAAGGAATGCAATTTTTAAAGATTTTGATGTATTAGGCTAATTTTGCTCAGAAACATGGTTATCACTCCTTTTTTTATTGAATTATAATTGCCCTACAATATTATATTAGTTTCAGGTGTACGACACTGATTCAATATTTTTATACATTATGAAATGATCAACATGATAAGTCTAGTTACAATCTGTCACCATACAGAGTTACTACAATATTATTGACTGTATTCTCTATACTGTACATGACATCCCCGTGACTTATTTACCTTATAGCTAGAAGTTTGTACCTCTTAATCCACTTCACTGGTTTTGCCTAACTCCCCAACCACCTCTTCTATGGCAACCACCAGTTTGTTCTCTGTTATCTATGAATTTGTTTAGTTTCATTTGTTTTGTCTTTTAGATTCCACATGTAAGTTAAATCATATGGTATTTGTCTTTCTCTGACTTATTTCACTAAGCATAATACCCTCTAGGTTCATCCATGTTGTAGCAAATGGCAAGATTTAATTCATTTTTATGGTTGAGTAATATATATATTTATATTATTTATATAATATATATTTATATATAATAATATATAGTATATATTATACTCTATAAATAGTATAGTATGTATAGTATATAGAATACTATATATAGTATTTATATATATAGTTATATATATATATTATATATATATATTTTATATATATATATATATATATACATATATCTATAAACATCTTCCTTATCCATTCATCTATCGATGGGCACTTAGGCTGCTTCCATATCTTGTCTATTGTAAATAGTGCTTCAGTGAACATAGGAAACATATATCGTTTTGAATTAGTATTTCCGTTTTCTTCAGATAAACACCCAGAAGTAGAATTGCTGGACCATATGGTAGTTCCAGTTTTTTAATTTTTGAGAAAGCTCCGTACTGTTTTCCATTGTGGCTATACCAATTTACATTCCCACCAATAGTATATAAGGGTTCCCTTTTCTCCATATCCTCACCAACACTTATTTTTTGTCTTTTTGATAATAGCTATTTTAACAGGTGTAAGGTGGTATCTCACCATGATTTTGATTTATATTTCCCTGATGATCAGTGATGTTGAACATCTTTTTATGTGTCCGTTGGTTATCTGTATGTCTTCTTTAAAAATGTCTATTCAGATCCTCTGCCCATTTTTAATTGGGTTGTTTGGTTTTTTTTTTGATATTGAGTTGTATAAGTTCTTCATATATTTTGGATATCCACTCTTTATTGGATATATAGTTTGCAAATATTTTCTCCCATTCAGTAGGTTGCTTTTTCATTTTGTTGCTGGTTTCCTTCACTGTGCAAAAGCTTTTTAGTGTGATGTAGCCCCACTTGTTTACTTTTGCTTTTGTTGCCCCCACCCCCAAAATTGTTAAGATCAATCAATGGATAGATCATCTGGACAGAAGCAAAAAAGAAACACTGGCCTTCAATGACACATTATACTAATGAGCTCAATAGATACATACAGAACATTTTATCAAACTACAACAGAATACACATTCTTTTCAAGTGCACATGGAACATTTTCCAGGACAGATCACATGTTAGGCCACAGAACAAGTCTCAGCAAATTTAAGAAGACTGAAATAATATCAAGTATCTTTTCTGATTACAATGGTATAGAACTAGAAATAAATTACAGGGACAAAATTGGAAAAAATACAAATATGTGGAGGCTAAACAACATGCAACTAAACAATCAATGCATAAATGAAGAAATGAAAAAGGAAATTTAAAAAATCCTTGTATTATGTGTTAGAGTGCCTGTTTTTCCCATACCTTTACCAATATGGAGTATTATCATATGTAAAACTTTTACTAATCTGATATGTTAAAAAATAGTATATTGTTTTAGCTTTTATTAACTCCTTAGTTGTGTTGAACTTGTCTTTGTTGTACATTTGTGTTTCTTCCTTCGCAAACTGCCTGTATATTTTTTGCCTTCTCTTTAAAATTAAAGTTATTGCTTTTTCTTATTGATTTGTGAAAACTCATTATATATTAAAGATATTAACCTCATTACATAGTAAGCTATTCCTGAAATATTAACCTGTTCTTTTGTTTATTGTTTTTTAGTCTTTTATTACTCATTAGAGAACTTTCATGAAAAATAAAGGGAATTCATAATCTTGCTCTTAATGTGGATTTGTTATTTTCTGAAGGCCTCTGCTCTGTTATTCTTCTCAAGATTTGTAAAACTGTGAGCCAGAAGAGTGATTGGTCAAACTGAATATCTAGATATGGAATCTAAAAAGCAATATACTTAAGCTTCTTTTCTAACTAAATGGTTTATTTTCATTTCTGTACCCTACTTTTGGCACCATGTGGCATCATGTGAAGATAATTTTATAAAATATAAATGTTTATATGCCAAGGGAATATTCTTATAGTTCCACAGTTTGTTGGATTAGATTGTAATCTTTGGGATTCAGGAATGAAAGATCAAAATTCCCAGGAATTGTCAGGAATTCCTGAAAGCATAACTTGTTTTTATCTTTAAAATACTTCCCACATTTTTTGTATTCTTTACTCACAATATTATGGATATCTAAAAAATTTATTTTACAGGCATAACTTGGAGATACAGTGGGTTCAGTTCCAGACCACCACAATGAAGGGAAGAGCACAATAAAGCGAGCCACATGAATTTTTTGGTTTCCCAGTACATATAAAAGTTATGTTTAGGGCTTCCCTGGTGGCACAGTGGTTGAGAGTCCGCCTGCCGATGCAGGGGACATGGGTTCGTAGCCTGGTCCGGGAAGATCCCACATGCCACGGAGTGGCTAGGCCCGTGAGCCATGGCCGCTGAGCCTGTGCGTCCGGAGCCTGTGCTCCGCAATGGGAGAGGCCACAAGAGCGAGAGGCCCGCGTACCGCAAAAAAAAAAAAAAAAAAGTTATGTTTACACTATACTGTAGTCTATTAAGTGTGCAAAACCTTATGTCTAAAAAACAATATACATACCTTAATTCAAAAATACTCTATTAATAAAAAATGCTAACCATCATCTAAATCTTCAGTAAGTCATAATATTTTTGCAATAGTAACATCAAAGATCACTTGTCACAGATCACCATAACAAATATAATAATAATGAAAAGTCTGAAATATTGTGAGATTAGCAAAATATGACACAGAGGCAGGAAGTGAGCAAATGCTGTTGGAAAAATGATGCTGGTAGACTTGCTCCATGCAGGGTTGCCAGAAACCTTCAATTTGTAAAACGTGCAGTATCTGAGAAGCTCAATAAAGCAAAGCACAATAAAACAAAGTATGCCCGTAATGAGTAAGAAATATCAAGTTTGGAAGTATTTACAAAGAACTTATTTTGCCTATAGCAAATATTCAAATGCTGTAAAATGCCAGCAAACACTATTGGGTAGTATTCAAACAACATAACACTCAAATCTCTCCACACTATGCAGAAGCATGTCTCTCAATTGCCAATTTAAAAACTCATATTGCTTCCCAAACTTGTTATTTCTTGGGATACCACTCATAGGACTTGTTTAAGGTATTCTGTGTATATAAATGTACTAACATTTATTTTATTTGCAAGCATTACTCACTGTTAGCACCAGCCAGCACTGTAAATGTTCACTTATAACATAGCAACAGCTACAAGCCAAACTGACTGATTAGATTGTGACCTCTTCTTGCCTCTGTGCTCCTGTTCCCGTTCCCTGAGATTCTGGTCAACCTTAACCTTCGACTGTTTGTATTCACATTCCCTGCTCCTGCTTTTGACCTGATGCCAGTGGAGCTCTTCAAATCAGTAACATCTTTATATTGACAGCTACGTTTTAGTTCTTGCAGGAGAATCAGAATAATTTTTCCAGTTTTCCTAATTTCTTAACAGATTTTCCTGGAGATTTAGAAAAACACATCAATAGCCCAAGAACTACTAGGAAGGAATTCCCCCATGGATGGGCTACCCGAGCCTGACCCCTCCAGGACCGACCAGGGCTGCTCCTTGTGGACCCAGGCTGGGTGGAAGGCAGTGACATGACGGGGCCACACAGGACTGGGCTTCAGGAACCCTGGGTTTTAATCCTGGTTGATCCATTAACTATAGCTTTGGAACCTGGAGTCAGTTTCCTAACTTCTCAGGGCCTCAACTTGCATCTTTAAAATAAAGCCCTCTTTTTAGTTTAAGAGAAGCTGAAAGTGTATAGGAGAAGAAAAAACGCTTCACGTCTGCGAGGCCTTGAGGTCACTGTGAGGGCAGAAGAACAAAGGTGTGTCAGGAAAGTCTCCTAGGTGGGATAGGGGTTCTCTGAGCCCCTGGAGGAGAGGCTGGTGGCTGGTGTTGGCTCTGCCGTACCTCGCTGGGTGTGCTCCAGCCGAATGTGCAATTGGGAGGGCAGGCTGCAGCCAGCAGCAGACTCCAGCTCACCCAACTGGTTAATTTCCAACTTTCCTTTTCCTTTTCAGAC